AAAACACAAAATGTCCTTTAGAAGCTTTAAGTCTTTAATTTGGAACAGCCAAATAAAAATGTTCATGCAAATCGCTGTTGAAGTAGCACTAACAAACTACTAAAATCCCATAGGGTCAGAAATTAGTGTTATCGTAGAGGAGGGTTTTTTCCCTCATTTTCTTTGACATTTGTATCTCAAATTGGTGCCATTGATGAATACGCAATATTGCACAGACATCTATTTTTGTAAACATTCAAAGAGACGCATTCATAAATTAAAAAGAGTACGCAGAGCTTTTGGTAAAGTGCAGAAGACAACAGAAGCCACACAAGTTATCAAATACTTAATAAAAAGATGTAATGATGTCTAAAATATAGCAAGGTTTTTATTATCAATTCTAAAACAAGTGATTCACTGAAAATGATTCAGGTGAATTGGCAGGACTTCAGGGTGATGCATCAATTAAATTTGTGAATCAGTGTTTCACTGCTGGCTTGCCAAGCTTTTCTGCAGATTTCTGTTTCATAGCTTGAAAAAAGCTTAAAAAAAAACTCAAACTGTGTAAGGTTTGGACTGTCGTCTGATGAAGTTATTTATTGCGATCAGAGCACCAAAGCATTTATGTGAAGACGTTTCAGGGCAGCAGAATTTATGAATGGCTGCTGTGGGCATATACACAGCTGAAGGACACTGGTTCTTGTTTTTTGGAGTTGGGATCACCGGGTGCAAGTGGATTTGCACTCTGGCTGTATCATGCGCCTTTGGGCTGAATGTCAAACGGCTGCCTGCGGTTATTAATCCGGGAAAAACAGACTAAGCCTTAATTCTGCACACTCCCAGTGGAAACGCTGCCAGCCCCATTTGCCCTTGCTGGGTAAATCCCCCCATATGCTTTTGGAGCTGGACCAATTCATGAATTTAACACGAAAACAAATGTAGACTAATCCAATGACTAATGTAACAGAAGCTGGCTTATTAGCCTAGTAGTAGGGTTCGCCCAAGCAGCATTTTACAGGCAGCGAATACTCGCTGGTGTTTCTGAAGAAGTACTCGAATACTCTTTCTCAGTGCTGTCCTCAAAGGCATTAATATTTATAGTTCATAATTAATCTTAATTGTAAGTGTTTGTTCATTTTTGTTTGATTTTTAATCAAAATACTTCAATTTTCAGTTTGTAACAAATGTTTTTCATCTGGAGGAAGATGAGTCTGACCTGTTTTTTGCTTACCTAGATAGCAGCGATGATACAGAAGTAAATTCAAGATGTAAACCTTTTAAAATCTTTGTTCGGCGATGTGTGTTCATAGTCAGTTTAGTTTACTAAATGGATAGACAAGTTCATATTCCATTGCTAATTTAGTGGTCCAAGTTCAAATTCCAGGGTGGGTGAAATAGCTTCGATAGGCGATCATAAATCTCATTCAGGATTGATGACTTGGCGAGTTATTTCAGTGTTTTATTCTAAACACTCGAAGATGTATAGCTGTCCATATCTTCTGTGAATCAGATGCATTGATTAGCTCGCTTGATGTCTCTGTGTGTCTCAAAACTGTAGGAATATTTACCCTGCATTTGGCTGTTTTTTCTTCTTTAAACATTGTTTACAATTTTAATATCTTTCACTACCTTATCTTTACCTAGTGTTACCTGGGTATGATGTGACTTTTTTTGTATAGCCTAATATCTAACATCAAGTAGTTGACATGTTTCTCCTTGTTTAATGATTTTATATAAATGATTTCTGTTCTGATTGGCTTCTGTGTTTTTGCTGCATCCAGGGTGAAACACTGCTTGTAACTCTGGTGCGAATGGGCAGGGCTAAACTGCTAGACGCTAAACAGGGGGATGTTTGTGAAAGTGTTGTTTTTCTTGGCATCACAAAATAATAGATTCAAAATGGGCTTTTTTGCAGCTTAATTTTCATATATCGACCATATGGGCTGGAAAATGAATGGTATGTTTTGAAATTTTGATGGTTTACTAGTAGTGGGTAGTGTGGCCAAGAATGTATATCACAGTTTCGGTAAGTACCATGGCATATTATTCTGGGATGTCCCTTCAGTTTGAATAGCAGTTCGAAAGCCATATTTATCAAAAGCGCACAGTGGCCTGGCAAAAACAGTGCTAAATATTGTTTTACGTCCAAATTTCAAACTCATTTGTCTCATATCCTGGAGTTTCGTCTACAATTGTCAGGCGTTGCTGGAGTTTGGTAATCACACTGTAAGTTTTAGAAGCTGTGAGAAGTTATAGAGCCTTTCGGCTTATTCTGTGGACCAGACTCGAGACCATGGCATCGTCTGAAGCTACTGGCCCAGCAAGGGGTGGCATAGGCAGTGCACACAGAGAGCTGGCTATTACATTCTGATGTCTGCGCTTTCAACAGCAAACTGGACTAACTTCCTCCACATTAGATGAGGGACTTCTGCATGTTTTGCACATTATGTACGTTGCATTATCTGTGCATTTTTGTGCCATATCAGTATAGCAGTAATGACAAATCTCATACCATAAGAAGAATTTCAAGCAGTTTACAGCGCCCACTACTAGTGTTTACATACTGTTTCATTTCAAAAAAGCAGGAAAGCAAAGAAAATGTAGTTTTCCCTTTAAATGAATAGACACATTCACACAATCTTTGACAGGGTGTGTGGGCAGGGTGTAATGGCAGGGTCTGTGTGTTGGAGATGCTGCGAGATGAGAAAAGGACCGCCTGCTGTTTAGAACTGAGGACTTTTAGAGAGAATGTGTCAGCTGTCCATCTGCCCTGAATAATAGTAGATTCATGCTTTTTGTTCTCTTCATACAGTCACACGCGCGGTTAGCTGATGTGGCCTGTCACGTATGGGCAGCCAGCTCAGTGCAGCGACGGCGTAACAAGATGATAAAATCAGCGTTTGCTCTGTTTAAACTCCCCATGACGAGGGCGTTCCTGCCACTGAAGGCTTTGGCCTCAGAGACCCACAGAGGCTGAATAGAGAAGGAATAGAGAGGAGCAAGAGAGACCTATATTGTCAGACTGCAGTGTCTTTTGTACCGATCTTCAGTTATAGTGTCTGTTGAAATACTTAGCATGGAGCGCAGTGAAATAAACTGGCCCTGTTGCAGCTCTGTTTCAATACATACATTTATATAATATGTGGGAATGTATGTGCGTGTCACATTGTCCAGCTGTTCCATCTGTGCTCAGGCCGGGTCACTAACCTTCGCCGTGGGCTTTGTGAGGCATTTGCTGATGGAAGATGAGCTTACTAGGTCAGTCAGTGCTGTCTGACCCAGAGAACTATTTTACTTCCAGTAGAGAAAGTCTCCTCAACTGTATGTGCAGCAGTGTGGTCGCTGATCTGGAAGGAAAACGGACTGGACTGATATTTGTCATAAGGTCAGCTTGTCAGCATCACGTCTGCTTCTGTCTGCCAGAGTCTTGCTGGCCTAGTTTCATATCTGATGACGCTCTTGTGTTTTCTCAATTAGTGCAAGCAAAATTGCTTTCAGTTTTGTGTGTTATTTATGCTGTGTGGCTATGGGAATACAAAATGTCATATTCAGAGCAACTGTATAATGTGATGCTGGAGTCAGTTAGCAAGCTAAGTAGTTAACTTTAAGGTGCCCTTGAGCGGAATCCAAATGAACTGTTCAGCACAGTGGGTACTTGCTTTGAGCCTGAAGTTGCCTGGCTAACGTGCCAAGCTAGCTTTACAGATACCACTCAAGGACTGTTCATTAGGTTAATGGTGTAATATATTATTATGCTACTGTCTGTTATGGGCTTCTTACCACTTGTTACATATCACTACCTGTCATGCTATTATAGTTTAGGTCAACTTTCCGCAGTTGAATTGTGGTTTTGTTTTGGCCCATTTCTTTTTTCAAACAGTCTTCAGTTCTGCAAGGATACGAGGGCCCCTCTGGTGGTCTTGCAGTTTCAAAATTTGTTCAAGTCAGGAGATTGTCTTGGCCATGCAAGCACTGTCACTTTCTTAAAAAAAAAAAACAAACTAGCATGTTATATTGGCTGTATGTTTGGGTTGTTTGTGTTATTGAAATATCTCATCTTTTCCCCAGATTCAGTTTCTTGGCTGATAAGATTAAATTATCCTCTCATATGTCCCTTACATCACTCCATTCGTGTTTTCTTTAATGACCCAGTAGCATTTGCAGAGAAGCAGCCTCATATCATGATGCTCCCAGCTTTGTACTTCCATGTGTCATGTGTATATGGTGTTTTTGGGACAGAATGTTGGCAAAAATTGGAGGATAGATCCAGAGTGTGACCTTTCATACAAATAAAATGTCTTTTTTTTATTTTTGTACTTTGATGAAAACCAAATGCATTCCTATTTCTCATTAGGGTGAAAAGGGTTATTGCCACCATTCTGTAACGCTCACAACAGTTGCTACGAAAGAGCACATTTATGGGCAGATTTTTGACTCTTATTTAGTGAACCAACTAATTATGCCTACAGTTTCCTCTCAGTTTGCCCCATCACAGAGCTGACATCATTTAATGGGTCATTAATTAATTTCTGGAACAAGCGATTTGATGGTTCCCAGTCTCGGCACTGGACTATCGTGTGTCCTGCACATTTTTTGTGTTTTACTGCTGAAATACCTCCATGACTCAGGAAGGGCTTTTTAATTAGTGGACTAGTTGAATCAGGTTTTAGCTAAAATGTACCTGGCAGGGAACAAACGCTGTGGTGTATTGATATTATTTTCTTGCAAAACTGTTTGTCATTATAGAACATTTTGGATCGCTATTTAATTTAGGTAAATGGTCAAGGCAGTTATTAGCTATCTAACAAATGCTAGTTTTGATGCTAACAGAATCCAAATGTGTTCGCCGCACTGATAAATGCCATAATAGCCAACTTTCTCTCACAAAAGTAACAATGCTTTTGCCCTGCTGATCACTGTAGTCATACATGACAGGAAAGTTCTTCTTGTCTCTTGGCTCTTCACAGTGTTCCAGCTCAGCATTGTAACTGTTTGTCTGTTCTCTCTCTGTCTTTCTGCAGTCACCCCTGACCTGTCTCCAGAGAGCCCTCTACTCGGCACCCTCCCACTCCCACCGGCTCGCTCCCGCGCGGCTGGCCCCAGCGGAGCCGGCGCCGCCCCACCACATCCGGCTCCGCTCGTGCGGTCCCACCGCAAACGAAGCGGAGAGGCCGGCTGCGCCAGCCCCCCGGCCCACGGCGCCATGGAGGTGGGTATGCGAGTGGTGCGCGGCTTCGACTGGAAGTGGGGCAACCAAGATGATGGCGAGGGCCATGTGGGCACTGTGGTGGAGGTGGGGCGCCAGGGAAGCACCACCACACCTGACAAGACTGTGGTGGTGCAGTGGGACAGCGGCACGCGCACAAACTACCGCACAGGCTACCAGGGCGCGTATGACCTGCTGCTCTATGACAACGCACAGATTGGTAAGTGCCTCTAGAACAGTGACAGTTTAACCCTCCTTGGTCTCCATGAAGTATACAGGATGAAATTGTCTTTGACCTTGCACATCAGTTTTTTCTTACTTGTAGCTTATTAAAACCAGTGAAAATATTGTGGCAGAAGTGCAAATTCTAAACCTGCAATCCATGCTTCCGTCACAGTTTTTCACTGAAACAAACATAAAGATCGGAAGTGCAATATGAAGTTCTGTAAGTTCAGTATTGAAAGTTTTCATGAATTATTGCAAATAGAACATGAAATAAGTATGTTTAAATAAAATAGCAAAGTAAAAATGGTCGTAAAATGAGTGCACATAGATTTTAGAGGATTTTGTGATTTATCAACTTATCTTTGACATACCTACACGATCAAACTCGCGTCTGGTAATATTGAGTGTAAATTTGAGTGTAATAGTTTAACAACCTAAAAAGAAATGCTTGATATGCAGTTAACTAACCAAAACTATGACCAGGATTTTCTGTAATACAAATAGAAAATAATAATAATACTAATAATTTGTGCACACATAACCATCCAATGCAAACATGAATGTGCATATTTTACATGCACATTTATATAAACAAATGCAGCAACTATTCCATGTTTTTTTTGAAGATGTATCACACTGTGCTTGTGTTTTATACTGCTGGCAGCGCCCAAAAAATAAACAGTACAAAACGCAACTAGTGCAGAAGCCTCTCATACACTGTAATAATAAAGTGATTAAATATGTTTTTTTGGCAAAATAATAACATCAAACTATCATTTTCTACCTTGTTAAAAATCATTCATCAAAATGAGAAGTCATTTTGTTCTTTCCAGTCTTTGTGATTTTAACACTAAAAGGTTTTGTCAGTAGGGGAAGCAGTGGGGGGATCAGAAGTTAAATTTTAGCTGCTAATACTAGATTGAGGAACGGATTGCTATAGTCATTATTTTCAGGTTCGAGTTCACATTATCGATATGGAAAAAATTGATAGCTAGATATGAAAACTTTTGGACAAAACTGGTACTCTTGGTTGTTGGTGGAAAGTTTTGGTGGCTGAAATTTTGATGCAAACATTTTAGAGAAAAACAGCCTAATATTTTGACTGGAAATGACAAAGATTATACAGGCCTTCAAAAGAGTTTCAAAATTTAAGACCTTACCTGTACATTTAATGGTAACAGAAATGCAAAACATGAGTGACTAAAACATGCCCCCCCCCCTCACTTTTATCACCAGTCTACGCAGACATGTTCAAACTGTTTGAGCAGCAGGGAGTAATGTTGGCCGTGCAGAACTATTTCAAGGTTTCTATGAAGGACATTAGATAGGTGATTTATTAACACTGCTTATGTCAAGTATCAAGAGGATGCCATATCTAAGAACTTCTCCATTACAGATTTGATACCACTTGGAAAAAAACACAACATTCTGCTCGATACGTAGGATACAGCCAAAAACAGAAGCAGGAAACTGCCTGCTAGAATGCTAACGCTATCTGTAGCCTCAGTTTATGAAATGCCAAACAGATCACAAACGACAGAGCAAAAGTTCCTATTCAGATTTTCTGTTCTGCCTTAAATGGTGCAGCAGTTACATGTACAAGAAACTGCATGTACATGTTCCATGTAACTACTGCACCATTTAAGGTGGAACGGAAAATTCAAATAAGAAGCTTCATTCTTCTTCGTTAGAAATTCATTGCCTTGTATGACCAACCGTTCTCTGTGGTTGAGGACATTTAGATTCCATGGCACATACTGTAATAATTTTAGTATGTTTATTTTACATTTTTAATAATTTGTTTATTTTACATTGTGTTTTGTGTTTTATGTTTTACATTTTAATTTATTGTCAGCTTTTTACAGCTTTCGGTTTTGGTTTTTGGCAGACTGTGTCCTGAACTTTGGTTTCCATTTTGGCTGAGAATTTTCTTTTCCGTGCATCACTTTTGATTATTGTCTTTGTCATTTAATTGTCCAGGCTTGCTGGGACATCTGTTGGGATGTAGTGCACACTCAACAGAGTCATAAATGAAATGTTTTGATTTTTTCAGAGGGAGTGGAATTGTAATTATGATTCCCCAATGATCTGGCGGCACAACTAGGAGTCTAGGAGCTTAACAAGAGCATAGATTGATAAACCACAAATTGCTTTGGGTCCCTTTGACAGAACCAAACATGAAGGTTTTGGAAACAGGCTCTGGTTTAGGTGACTGGGAACCCTGTTCATCTTGTTCTTTCACTCACATCTCAATCCTCTACGGAAGAAATGCCATCGCTTATAGCGCTCGTTATGCCCGGAGCCTGGGTGATTTTCTTTGTTGTTAATCCCTGTCTGTCTGAACACACCTGCTGTCTCTCGCTCCCTCCAGTGGTGCAGGTCTGTACTGTGTAAGCACTTGTGGGTTATGATTGCCCACAGCAGCAGGTTAACTTGCATGATGCAGATAAAGCCTTTAGCTGCAATGTCTCTGTCTACTTATTCATTTCTCTCTTTATCCATCTCTCTCTCAGTCTGAGCGGTTTAGCCACCGAGGGCCCATCTGTATTTATACCCAAGTAAAACGCTTACTGCTAAACGGAGATGCCTTTTTCCCCCGCCTCATTAAAAGCAGCATTCTTCTGCCTCAAATGATATGCTTCAGATTAATGGAGCGAAAGAGCATGGGAAAGAGTGAGTGAGACTCAGAGTTTTCAGAAGCGACGCGTTCCTAAAGGGCAACAGCTCTGCTCATTAGCCAGCTCCTTTAAGTGAATGCAGCACTGTTTGGGCTCTGACTGTTTCAAGTCCTTTCGCCTCATGGGCTCGTCACGACCGAGAGCAGCTCTCTTCTCCTCAAATGTCCGAGAATAACTAGTCCCTGTACACTCGTGTTACTTGGTCGTGTCTTCAGAATGAGGCCAGTTATAGATTTAGCCACTTTTTAAGTGTCTACAGTAAATCCATGCAATTCTTTGATTCGTTAGAATCAAAGTTTTGAAACCTTGTTCATGAGCTCAGCAGGAGAGCAGAGACCAGATCATCCTTTATTTCCCATACTGGAGCTGTAATTGTGGAAATTTTGTGTAGTCACATTTTGGAGCTGAGGGGTTGACCGAGATTAGGCCCACTTCAGTCCAAGCTGTTGTGTAAGTGTGAAACGTTGCGGTATTCAGTAAATGAAGAACCGAAATCAGCTTTGTAATTAGTACCTATGAAACTGGCATCAACTCCTTATTCAAGAAATGAGGAAGCGTAATCAAAACAACAGTTTTAAGAAAATTTGATTTCACTTTAGGGCTGCATGATATATCGTTCCTTGATGGTTATCACAACATAAGTCTTGGCAGTACTGATACAGAAGCAGAATGCATTATGCAAAAATAGCCTATCACCAATCACTGAATGTTTTATAGTGTGTTGTCAGTGTCTTAACCAGTCACAGATGTTCTTTGAGTGTTTAAATTTATTGGGACATTCACAATTCTCACGTTTCGTGAGAAAAAACCTCACACTAGGCCTTCTGAAAGTCCGTGATACGTCACTGACTGCAAATACCAGTGGTAGTCTAACCGTTTCAGTCATCTGTTAAAAAGAGAGCATAAAAAGAAAACAGTGGCTGCTATTTACCTTTTGTTCAGACCAAGTACATGTTATTTAGTACTTACTGATACAGATACATACTGTGCTACCTACTTAGCATTAAGTAGTTGTTTGTCAGTGTACACAAGGGTAGTGTACTATAACAGTTAAATCATTTAAATCTAGGTGATTTTAAATGAGGTGCAATAGCTAGCTATGTTACATTAGTTAGCTTGGATCAAGTAGCGTTGCAGTGGAGAAGAGCGGGTTTTGTTCCACATCAGAAAAACGCTTCTGTATACTGTAAGTAAAGTACATTTCATGGTTTTGCTTCAGTGCTCTTTATCTGTCTGAGCAGTAGTCTGTATGCTGCAGTGAACTCAAACTTCTTTATTTGGAAAAAAAAAAACCTCCTTATAACTTCAATATGTATGGCCGGAGCTAAACTGCTGTAGGCTGAATAGTCGGATATATTGGTTGCGGTGACATCAGAAAAACGGGCTATTGTTGCAGCTTAGTTTCCACATGTGGATCGTATAGTGAGTGAATGGTACTACATTAAAATATTTTATTTAAGAAAAGTAGAGAAAGTTCAGTTTTTCATGATATAGACCTTTTTAAGAAGCTTGAGGTGCTGGATTTAATCACAGTTCATTCTATGGAATTGAATCAAATTGTTCTTAATTTACAAAGATTGTCTTTGAATTTTTTCACGCAGTTGCTGTTCATTGTTTTTTTTCATTCGGCTTTTTGTGTACCTGCTCCTCTTTCTAGGTGTCCGCCACTCAAACATCATCTGTGACAGCTGTAAGAAGCATGGCATAATGGGAATGCGTTGGAAATGTAAGGTGTGTTTTGACTACGACCTGTGTACGCACTGCTACATGAACAACAAACACGACCTCTCGCATGCCTTTGAGCGCTACGAGACTGCACACTCGCAGCCGTGAGTATACCAAACCCTCTTCTCTTCTCTTCTCTTCTCTTCTCTTTTCTCTTCTCTTCTCTTCTCTTCTCAGCTGCCTATATTCCCCTCCTTCTCTTTCTAGCTTTTTCTGTATCTCTCTCTCTTTCTAGCTTTCTCTATATCTCTCTCTCTCTTTCTCTCACTCTCTTGCGCTCTCTGTCTCTCTCTGTTCTGAATCACTCTTCCGCATGGCTAAACTCTAAACCTCTCTGTTCCCGCCAGCACTGTCTGAATGTCAGGTTGTTCTCCTCATTCTCCCAACAAACGTAGCATGCTATTATATAAACCATGGTTAATTCAGTTGCACCATTTTAAGCACCACATGACGTAGGACTGGACAGTATGCCGGTTGGTACAGTATACCATTTTAAATTCTTCCTCAGTTATGACTTTTGTCATAACCGTTTTGCTATACCAGTATGTCGCAAATACACATATAACGTGAAATACCAACAGCGCAAACCCATGTATGCAAGTGGTTCAAATAAAAATGTAGCCAACCCTCGATCACCTCCCGCTGTCTGTTTGCTACATTTGAAGTAGTCCATTTTGTTTTTGAGCTGCCTGACTATCAGCTGCGTCAGATGACGCCATGGTCAGGCCTTGTGTGCAGAACAAACCAGCTGTTCCTAAAGCGTGAATGACTAATATTTTCCAAATTCCGGCAATCTCTGACAGTCAGAGGCATGAGTACGAAACAAATGACTTGAGAAACTTGACGAAGCTGAAGTTGGCTTCTTATTCAGATTTCTCGTTCCTCCCTAAATGGTGCAGCAGTTACATCCTGGTGCCTGCGCACGTCTATAATGTAACTACTGCTCCATTTAAGGTAGATTGGAAAATTTAAACAAAAGGCTGGTGACAAAAAACCCAGCTTTAAACATGTAGAAATTCAAACATAAAATAACATTTGCTGGGTCTGGAGGGTTATTGTGAGAAAGCAGCATTGACATAGATGTATCTGTATATTATTCAGGTTTGTTTTTACCATTTTTCATGATAAAACTATTTCAGACTATTTGGTAAAAATGCATTAAAAGGTGAAGGGACATTCAAGAATTATAAGCCACTGTCAGTCTGCAAAAATAAGTATACTTAAGCATCTAAAATGGTTTTATTTGAAAACATATATACCGATGTAAAGAATTGGAGTCATAAGCAGGCACAGTAAAGCTTTATTAGGGACAGTCCAAAACTCATAGTCATCACAGACAGGGGTCAGAAAACAGGCAGGCAACATCACAGGCAAATCTATTATTAAAAATCCAGGAACAAAGCGAGAGTCAAGCACAGAAGTCCATGGCTCAGAGCTTATGGATGAATACAGAGACTTTGCAAAGTCCAAGATTAAACAAAGGGGTATATATATATATGTGAGCTAATGTCCATTAAATGAGTCACAGATGAGCATGGTAAATAGTGAGCAGAGCTTTAAGGGGGGGTGTGACAATAAAAAATGGGACCGTCCATGTGCTGACGCTCCAGGGGGAGAAGCCAGGGTAGAGCCAGAGTGAAACAATGCAGAATAGGGCAGGTCCAAATGGAGTCTGCCCAGAGTGGGGGGGGCATTGTGACAACCGAAACCATCATTTTAATTGTATCATGAGATAAATTTTTGGCCATATCACCCTCTACTAATGTGAAGGCAATTTGATGCTTAGGGGCGGTGCACGTATCTTAGGATACAGTAGAAAGAAACACAGTGTAGTTACTGCGGATGTTCTGTAGTCTTGCACTGTGCAAACATATATATTTGATGTGTGCTTGCCTGTTGTAAGCAAAGCATGTAGCAGACTGTGAAGTTGTAAAGACCCTTTGTTTTCGCTGTTGTGTGTTAGAGGCATCCCATTCAATAAGCTTATCCTAAAGGGAAAATGCCTTTGTTGCTAGAAGCTGGATGGCATAATTAAAAAATGGGTGCAGCTGTTTATATATTTATTTATTTATTTATACCTTTGAATTAATGATGACCTTATGCTCATATACCTCACACAAAACAGTACCACCAGGTGCTTCTGAGCATCAACTAATTTTTGAAGCATTTAGAGAGCATTTTATAAATCTTAAGGAATGCTCACCTTGTGGTTTTAGTGAAATTTTTCACCTGTGGCATGCAAATTAGCACCTGGGCAGCTTGTGAACACCACACAGGTGTGACCGAATTCCTTGGGAGTTGTATTATGTCCTGCACTAGAGCCATGTACAAGAGCTAGGACAGGAGCCCCTTAGCATACATCTTATTTGAACTGAGTAATGTGTAATGATTTTTAACGATTTTCAACTATTTTTGGTCATTTTATTCATTCATATATGTCACCTTAGTGAACTTGTTAACATTTTACTTGAACCCTATGAGATAACATTTGACATAACCATGCCATAAACATAGCAGACGTTGTCATGAGTTATCATGATAGATTATGTCCAGTAATATAACAGTGTCACATAGAACTCGGAAATATGATAATATTTGTCGTCATCATGATTATTTGTGTCAAATTGTGTAACAGTATGCCTTTTCTGATATATATTAATATATTTTTTTGTGAACATCGTCAGTACTTAAACAACACTGACCAACTGCATGTTTCCCTAAAAAGAGAGCATGATTAATCCTGTTTAACTGTATGTAGTGCAGCATGGATTGTGAATTGTTGAATAAAAATCATTGTATTCATAGTTTTTGATAATATTTTTTAAGACTGGCACTCTGTGAGCATTCTGTCTGCTCCAACTTATCAGACCTCAGAAAAATTGAATATTGTGATGCATACTGTGTAACGTCAAAATGACTAAGTATTATGTTATAATGACAATTTTCATGCACCTCTTGTGTCATGTTACTATTACCAGTAATTGTCGTCATGATCTCTGATCTCAGGGTTCAAATAAAGTGTTACTACAAACTCTTTGCAAAGAAATAATTCAAAAAATAGCAATGGACACATCAACTTATCATTCTTGCTATATGTCAAATAGTTTGTAGACACCTGCTCATCTTCCGAAATCAAGGGTATTATTAGTGTCACCCCCTTTTTTTACTGCAGTAAAACCCTCTACTCCTCTGGGAAGGTTGAACTACATGTTGGAACGTTGTTCTGAGGACTTGATTGCATTCATTCACAAGAGCATTAGTGAGGTCAGGTGCTGATGATGTTAGTTGTTTATTAGTTCTGGATTATAAACATGACTCCAGGTCATCCCAGAGGTATTGGATGGAGCTGCATCACTCCAGAAAACACGGTTCCACTGTTTTACAAACAAGTACTGGGAGCCTTTGTACCCTTCTAGCCGGCACTTGGCGTTGGACATGGTGACCTTAGGCTTATGTGCGGTTGATTCCGAGCATCCCATTCTGTTGGCAGTGCTTTTTTATGGAGATTACACAAGCCTGCTTCAGCAATTGAATGCCTGCATCAGCGGTAGGTGCACCTTAAATTCCTGTACCTGAATTGACTGAATTAGAAGTCTGGATACATTTGGACATTAGTTTCCCAGTCACCTTTCAAAGTTTCAGATTTAGAGCCAGACAAAATGCTTAATTTAATTTCTGATTGTATATTTTTTACCAATCTCCGTGGCAGAACAGCTTATTGATTAATTTTGGATGGCTGACAAGTCTGTCATGTCCTCGCTGCTTCTCCCTCTCCCTCATCTCTCTCTGTAAATGATGTTGCTTTTTCCATCAACAGCAAAACACTTGACACTGTCTATAAACAAGATCACTGAACACAATTCCATTACCGGACCAAAGCTGCTGTTAAGCCTGTCTTTGTCACAGTTAGTTTGTGTTTGTATTGTGTCCTGTTGTAATGAACTCGTATACATTTTACTCTGATTGATGGCTCCTACTGTAAACAGACCACTTATTCCTCAGCTATTCCAAGCTCGCTGGTGGCCAGCTACACGCTAGAACCATTTTTGGCTACATGATATGTTGAGATTAATTTACAAAAGCTAAAAGAGAAACCACAGCTCTCTCTCAATCTCACCTTTTTATAGATCTTTTTACGCTGCTATTTTCATTCCTTTATCTTGCACAACAGCTCTCAGTGTCCTCTCGCAGACTCTCTCCCTCTGTTATCACTTTTTTTGCATCCATGCACTGATAAATGAAAGCAATTGTGCTCACCAGGGGAAGACTGGACATGTTGTAAATGGAAATTCACACTTACATGTGTAGAACATTTGGGCTCATATTTTTATGAGTACCGCAGTGTAGGTGTGAATGGAAAGCAGAGAAGGATTTTATGGGCCTTTTCATTTGTAGTGCAGCCTGTCCTCCTCTTAATGGCTCTCTCTGGCATGAAGTCTTTCTTCCTTGCGTTGATTTTAATCAGTTATTTCATTTTCAAGATGGCTTGGTGGAAATCAGTGGGGAATGCTCAGAGCTTTCTAGACCTTTAGAGAAATCCTAATGAAGTCTGTAATATTCAGTTTCTTTTCATTTAATAGAATCATCATGTACCCTGTGATAGACTGGAGACCTGTCCAGGGTGTTTTCTGCCTTTCGCCCAATGAAAGCTGGCATAGGCTCCAACACCCCCGCTACCCAGAAGGATAAGCGGCTTAGAAAATGTGCGTGTGTGTGTGTGTGTGTGTGTGTGTGTGTGTATGTATGTGTGTGTATGTGTGTGAAAATCATCAGGTTTGTTGTATTTAAATTATGTAGGTATTGTAGTAATACTCTTACTGCACTGTTACATTTTGTTACAGGAAAAAGGTTTAAAGTCTTGAAATTCCCAATGGGAAATTATCCAAACAGGCTTCTACTTCCCATGGTATCTACATCGGCTAAGTGAGCCCTCTCATTAGTCAGGACTTCAGGAGCTGCACAGAAGGCCTTGCACAATAGATTAACTATAATTAGGAAGTAACAGCGGACTCAAGTTTTGAATGCTAATGAACAGGACCATTTTTGTGAGTTACTCAAAGCTTTCTGCAAGTCCTATATACATCGCTGACTGTGAATATGAGCA